CCGCTACATCTTTATATCGCAGAGGAATACGCATTAGATGCTGCTTCCAAAGTTCCCGATCCTGTGTTAGCATCGCCGGCGGAAAACAACCGGAGTCTAGAGTAAACTCCTTCAATACAGTTGTACTCCATGAATCTTCACCGTCTCCTGTCTTTTAGAGGGGGGCTGGTAAAACTTTAGTTCCTTCGCCTTCCATTCTGGAGGTATTCGCCAAACGTGCCCAAACAAACGCAGCTCTCACTACTAAACCTGAAGAAGCAGAGCTTATACACCACGACTCTCGCATTTCTGTACTCCGGACCATGTCGAGACGCTTAAGGTCAGCGACTCGTCTCGGAAAGCCCATTTCAGCCGCTTGTGCCAGGGACCGAAGTTTTTCAGTGATGGTCCACGATTCATGAACTGGATAAAGATCGACTTGAAAACTGAGAGCTTAGTTTTCAGACTGAGCCCTGCTTTCGTCACAACGGGTCGGGCTAGTTCACGCAGAATATTAGTATTTCAGCAAACCAAATCACAGAAATGTAAAAAATCTTAAAAGTGGCAAAACTGATGGAATCTATGAATTCCGCTTTGTGATGCTTAAAGATTTATGCAAACAAGACATCTTGGGCTAACACGTGTTTGTAAAACTCCAATGACTACGAGAAACGCACGAGAACGGCGTTTTCCCGTTAAAGAAGGGAGACCTAAGGAAGTACTGCAATGATCGGGGCATTACCTAAATGAACCTGCCGGGAAAAGTCTAATCATATGTGTCAGAATGGAGGTGCCGCATTATGCTGACTCCAAGAGAGAGGAGCAGTGTAACTTCAGGTCAGACCAAAATACCTTTGACCTGATCTTCGCCTTACGCCTGATTGTAGAGAAATTCTCAGAGTTCATTCATCTGGCTGACATGTGCTTTGTGGACCTGGAGAAAACCTATGATCCTAGGATCCTGCACAACAATCTGTAAGTGTGCCTGAGAACATATGGGATCAACTGTCAGTGGCTATTATTCATCTAGTTACTATATGTTGAAAGCAGAGTAAATGTCTTTAAGATGAGACATTTCAACTTGGTACTAGTCTCCGCCAAGGCCGCATTCTGACCACTTTCCTGTTTCTCCACCACACTGACAGGAAAATCAGGCTCAGCAAGTGTGACCAGTGTATCAGTGACGATATGAAAGAGAAAGTTGCAGTTTACCAACAACGTTGTTTTGCTGCATGTTCTGAAGCTGATTTTCAGCGCTATCAGAAAAGGGTCGTAGCCGAGTGGGACGTGGCAGGCACGCCTTGAACGAGATAAAT